CGACCTGAATGCTAGCTCTGATGTAGTCTTGCCATGCCAACTTCTTTGTACCATTGTTCTGAACTTTTCCTAGTGGAACTCTTGCCAACTTTCCCCGTGAACTAACAAGTGTGTGCGCACAAGGAAACGACTAAGGAACGAACGAACGCAGAGATCACACGAGCACCCGTGCCTAGCCCGTAGTCTAGCTCCCGTTGCAGCAGTTATCTCCGCAGCTCTTCTGGAGGAGCATGTCCTCGAGGGACTCCACGTCCCTGCCCGGATTCATGCACTGCACTGCCCTCTTCATCACCCTGACCACAGGGTGTATTGCGGGGCAGCTGTACAAACAGTGATTTTGCGACTCTGTCCCCCCACAATGCGGACAACGTGTCCTTGCGCCCAGGAATGGCAGCCTTTCTCCCACTTAAAGGTTGTTACTGTGCGCCCTGAGCACCACTTCACGTGCCCTGCATGGTGTTGCTACTGAGTCGTGCAGAGATAACTACTACAACAGGAGCTAGACTGAGGGCTAGGCACGAGTGCTCGTGTGATCTCTGCATTCGTTCACTCAGTCGTTTCCTTATGCACACACTGCTTGCTAGTTCACGGGGAGATTTGGCAAGAGTTTCACTAAGGAAAGTTGACAACAATGGTACAATAAAGCTGGAAAGACAAGACTACATTAGAGCTCGCATGCAAGCAAGTCGACTGCCAGCGCAGCATGGTCGACCGCGTTCCAGCACGACTTGGTCGACCGCGCTCCAGCAGTGCAAAGTCGCGGCTTGCCAACACTGTAAGTCGACGGCGTGCCAATGTTGCTCCCGCAGAACAGCAGAGCACCAACTTCGCAGATGCTCGCAGATGATTGGAGTGCTGTGCCTCGTCACCTGCACAGCGCACACACCAAATCAACCCCGTGCTGACAACTGCATCTAATCAGCCACGTCGACCTCAAGATACCACTACCGAGGTCGGCCTCGCCAAAACCACATGGGCGACCGTCGCACTCCTCCGCAGAACCTCGTCACCCATGTAACCTGGTCGACCAGGCAACCACGTCGACCAGCTGCTCCTTCACGTGCCCATCGACCACCCAAGTCGAGGACCACCTCCAGTCGACGTCGTCAGGTCGACCGCACCCTTGGTTGACCAGCTCCAGGTCGACGACACTCCTGGTCGACAAGCTCCATGTCGACCAGCACATCTGTCAGCCGACCACTCCTAGTCGACTTCACCAGGTCGGCGTCCCCAAGTTGACGCCCTCTCAGGTCGACCTCCCAGGTCGACCTCCCAAAGTCGGCACCCTCCCGAAGTCGGCGCCCCACCCAGGTCGACGTCCTCCTCGTCAACCACCAGGTTGAAGGCGACCACCGGCTCCCAAGGTCGGCGGTTCTGCAGTGGCCCCATGCAAGTCGACCAAACCTGTCGACCACCTCGCCCAAGACGGCGTCGCCCACTGCTGCAGGTCAACTGCACTTCCCGCACACCCGACCACGAGGTAGGCTCCGCCCAAGCAAGGACGGGGCCAACCATAACTCTCGTTGACAAGTCGCGCACCGTGATGCCCTTCCCCCAATCAATCCTCCTCCCCGTCGTCTCTTCCCACTGCAGTTGCTGCTTGGGCTGAGACACAGGGGGTTTCATCATCTTCCTCAGTTACCTTAGCTCGGCTTGCTCACCCTTGTCACAGACAGGCGAGTACAGCAGCCGTGTTGCTGCAGATTTGAGCAAAGAGGAGATGTTGGAAGTGGGATGTTGACAGGAGATGATTGCCCATTGCAATGCGTGTTGGAAACGCATTGGACGGGGCTGAAGCTTGCATGGATGGGTATGCATTGAGTGTGCATGCTTGAGCTGGAGCATGTGGGATGGTTGGCAGCCAGAGGGGGAGTTTGTTATGTGATGCTATCATTTGCATTCACGTCTGTCTGCCTCCCATCTTATGTTCGTGCTGCATGCATGGTGTGAGCGTGTGCAAGAATTGATGTTTGGTGCGGTTTGGATTTTCTGAGAGTGTGTGAATGTTATTTTTTCTGAGCAGAATTTTTTTGTTGGATTTTCTGAGAGTGTGTGAATGTTATATTGCCTTTAGCTACTCTACGATTAAAAGCATGACAGCTGTCGGAATCCTCCTAGCAGGCTCGCTGTCTTCTCCCTCAGACGTTGCCCATCTTCCTCCTGCCTCCCTTCTCGTCCCTTTACCCCTTTAGTGCCTTCAGCTCTCTGTGAAGCCTCTTCTTCTTCTCTGTAGGCTTATCCACTTGCCCCCTCCTCGGCTTCTCCATCTCTCCTTGCTGCAGATGGATCTTCTCCTTATGAGCGTGCATCTGGTCCCCCTCTTCCTCTTCTGGCTGCTCCTTCCCCTTTCTCCTTTGCAGGCTGGCTCTTGCCACATTGGTCTGGTAATCCCTCCTTTCTTGTCCCTGCACCACCACTCCAGACTCATTCACTTCCTTAACTTTCCAGTGCTCCGTCCCCAGCCCTATGTCCATCAGATCCTGCTTTGTCTGCTTTAGGTATACCTCCTCTCCTGCGCCCAGCTCCTTCTCCTTTTTCTGCTGTTCCCTTCCCTTCCCTTTTTTTATCTCTGAGCGTCTCTCAGCTGCGCCACATCTAGATTCTCCAGGGTTGCTTCATCGACGAGGAGCAAGGCGGTCGAGTCCAGAAGACGCCGGTCTCCGTTGACGCCTACGCCGAGCTGACGTTCGACGACGAGGAGGCTCAGGAGCGCGAGGAGGAGGAGTACTGGTTGAAGGTCAGCTTGCTATACATGTCTGGTTGCTACTAAGAGTAAGTGCGCCACTTACACGTATGGTTGGTACTAAGATTGAGTACATTACTTACCTGTTTAGTTGATACTAAGAGTAATTGCGTTACTTACCCGCGTGGTTATCAATTAGAGTAAGCGAGTCGCATACCCGTGTGGTTGGTATTAAGAGTATGTACGGTTCTTACTTGTATGGTTGGTACAAAAAGTAGTGCGTTACTTATCTGTGTGGTTGGTACTAAGAGTAAGTGCGTTACTTGCCCGTGTGGTTGGTACTAAGGGTAAGTGTGCCACTTACACGTGTGGTTGGTACCAAGAGTAAGTGCACCACTTACACATGTGTTGGGTACTAGGAGTACTTACCCATGTGCGTTTCTTTCCCTTACGGTTGGTAATAGGAATAATTACGTTACTTACCTGTTTGTTGGTACTAATAGTATTTGCGCTATTGATCCATGTGGTTAGTACGAAGAGTAAGCGTGTCCCTTACTGTGTGGTTGGTACTACATGTAAGTACGTTAGTTACCTTTGTGGTTGGTAATAAAAGTGTGTGCGTCACTTACCCGTGTGGTTGGTACTACAAGTGCGTTACTTACCCGTGTATTGGTACTAAAAGTAAGTGCGTCACTTACCCGAGTGGTTGGTACTAAGAGTAAGTGTGTTGGTTACCCGAGTGGGTGGAACTAAGAGTTAGTGCGATACTTAGTCATGAGGTTGGAAGTAAGAGTAAGTCCGTTACTTACACGTCTGGTGGTACTAAAAATAAGTGCGTTATTTACCCGTATGGTTGGTAATTAGAGTAATTGCGTTACTTCCCCGTGCGGTTGGTAGTAAGTGTAATTGTGTTGGTTACCTGTGTGGGTGGGACTAAGTGTGAGTGCGTTACTTTCTCAAGAGGTTGGTAGTAAGAGTAAGTGGGCTACTTACCCGTGTGGTTGGTACTAGGAGTAAGTGCGTCACATACCCTTATGCTTGGTACTAAGAGTAAGTGCGTTAATTACCCGTCTGGTTGGTACTAAGTGCTTGCTTACCCGTGTGGTTGGTACTACAATTAAGTGGGTTACTTACTCGTGTGATTGGTACTAAGTGTAAGCGTAATACTTAACCTTATGGTTTAAACTAGGCGCAAGTGCGTTACTTACCCCTATGGTTGGTACTAAGAGAATCTGCGTTACTTACTCGCATGGTTGGTAGTAAATGGGTTACGTATCCATGAGGTTGGTACTAGCTGTAAGTGAGTTACTTACCCATGTGGTTGGTACTAAGTGTAAGTGTGTTACTACCCTTATGGTTGGTACAAGGCGTGAGTGATATACTCACCCTTATGGCTGGTACTAAGGGTATGTGCGTTACTTACCTTCGTGGATGGTACTACAAGTCAGTTTTTTACTTACTCGTGCGGATGGTACTAAGGAAAAGTTTGTAATTTACCCGTCAAGTTGGAACTAAGAATGTGTGCGTTACTAACCTGTGTGGTTGGAACTAAGAGTCTGTGTGTTACTTAAACGTGTAATTGGTATATATGCGTAAGTGCACCACTTACACATGTGGTTGGTACCAAGAGTAAATGCGTTACTCACCATTTCGCGACTTCGCTTCCTCCTCGCAGAGTTCTAGCAGCTGGATGCTGGGAAGCCGACTGTCCTTCCTTCCCGGCTTCCGTGGCCGCCACGTACTCCGACTCGGTCGACGACAACGTCGCGCACTTGATGCGTTGGCTCGACCAGGAAACTGCAGCCCCTCCGTAGACAAGCACGTAGCCGCCCGTGCTCGTCCTGTTCTGCTTGTCACCGGCGTCGTCGGCGTCCACGTAGCCGACCAGCTCCAGCGACTCAGGTCCACCGCCGAACTCCAGGGCGGTGTCATGCGTGCGATATATAAATTATATATGTTTATAACTGCCTGTAGCATTAGCTTTAGTGTAGTTATACAAACCTGGTTGGTGGTGCACCTCTTGTTTGTTTGCTATATGTACCTTTGGTCCTATAGTGAACACAACCATTTCTCAATCCTCCTTGGTACAACCACCTCGACACCCGCTTGGCCTAGGCTACTAAGCCTAGGCCCTTAGTAAACCCCGGTTCCTAGACTAAGATCGTATTGTAACATGGTATAGAGCTAGGTCGTTCCCGACCTATTCTTGAAGGGCCCACCGTTAACCTTCACGATGGCGCGTCCCGTTAAGCAGCAAATCGCGGCCCCGTTCGTCCTTTCCCGTCGCTCGCCCGTAGCAAAATTCGTCACGGTAGGCATGACGGACGCTACGGTCGCGGCGGGAGTGACTGTGATCGTCGACCCGCTGCCTCGCACCGTCGCTCTCGCCCCCGTCGACCCCGCGCACTACCCGCTACTGCATCCCGCCACCCGCGCGATTTCCGCTTCCGCAGCCCGTCGCCCACGCGCTACTCGCTGCTTCTGCCCGTCGCCAACGCGCTACCCGCAACTGCATCCCGCCGCCCGCGCGATATCCGCTGCTGCAGCCCATCGCCCGTCCCGTCGCACTGCCGCCCGTCGCCAGATCCCCGCCACCCGTACGCACTCCGCTGCCCGTCGCCAGGTCCCCGCCCGCCCTCCCGTCGACTTCGCAACTGCTGTGAAGGGAGTGGCGGGAGTTGCGAGAGTGGTGGGAGTGGCGAGAGTGGTGGGAGTGGCGGGAGAAGCTGCTGCTACGCCATTGCGCGCGCCAGATCGTCCGCGACCCGCACCCCGCACCCCGCCCGTCGCCCGTACGCCATCCGCACCACGCACGACGTCCGTGCCCCCGTCCGCGAGACCCGTCCGAACCCCGTACCTGCACCCAGACCGCCGTTCTGCCCCAGATCCCGCCCCCCCCCACCGACAACTGCCACCCCACCCCCATCTCCGGCTCCGTTTCCAGCGGGAAGGGAAGGAGGTGTGGTGTTGGCCCGAAGGGGACGGCTGGGGGAGGGGGAGTGGCGGGGTTGGCGGCTCATGTAAGGGGGAGTTTGAGGGGGTGGGTGATCCATCTGCAGCTACTGCCGCCACACCTCCCCCTCTCTCTCTCCGCCGCTGCTGCTGCTGTGGGGTGGGAGGTTCAAGGGGTGTGGGTGGTGAAATTCCAGCTGCAACATCAGCAACTGCCGCCTCCTCCTCCTCTCATCTCCTACCGTGCACCTCCCGTGCTCCCGTGATCCAGTGCTACTCATGCTTCTTGTGCTTCTCATGCTGCCCCGTGGTCCTGTGTTGTTCCGTATTGCCCGTACTTCCCCGTGCTTGCCCCGTGCCCGTGCCCGTGCTGTCTGCCCGTGTTCCCTGTGCTTCTGCCCGTGGTCTACCCGTGCTGTTTGTTCCCGTGCGTGCCCCACCCGTACCACCCGTGCTGTCAGTGCCCGTGTTGCCCCGTTCAGCCCGTGTCCTGCCCCGTTCTGCCCGTGCTGCCTGTTCTGCCCGTGCTGCCCCGTTGTGCCCGTGTTGCCCCGTTCTGCCCGTGTCCTGCCCGTGTTCTGCCCGTGATTCTGCCCGTGATTCTGCCCGTGATTCTGCCCGTACTGCTGCCCGTGATTGTGCCCGTGATTATACCCGTGTGCTGCCCGTATTTTGCCCGTGTTCTGCCCGTGATCCTGACCGTGATTCTGCCCGTGATTCTGCCCGTGTTGTCGCCTGTGATTTTGCCTGTGATTCTGCCTGTGATCCTGCCCGTGTTGCTGCCCGTTCCCGTGCCATACTGCCCGTGCCCACCCGTGTCTCCCGTTGCTGCCCGTGTTCTACCCGCGCCCAGTGTCACCCGTGCTGCCCGTACCAGTCTGCCCAACCCGTTTCACACGTGCTGTCCGTACCCGGTTGTGCCCAACCCGTTTCACACGTGCTGTCCGTACCCGGTTGTGCCCCACCCGTTTCACCCGTGCTGTCTGTACCCAGTTGTGCCCGACCCGTTTCACCCGTGCTGTCCGTACCCGGTTGAGTTCCAAGGGGGCAGGTCGCCGTGTGAAGATCCGTGCAGGGACCACTATGGGTGGGGCAAGGGCTGGAGGAAGGAAGGGGGGGAGGGGGTGCGGTTCGAGGAGGCGACTGACATGAGTGGTGAGGTTAAAGGGGGGTGGTTAATTGGGGGTGGGGATGTGGGGGTTCGTAAGTGGGGACGCCGCGGCCACCCCCCCACCTCCTCTCCTCATTCCCCACTCAACCCCCCCCTTCGTAAAAGGGGGTTAGTAAGAGGGGACGCTGCGGCCACCCCCCCACCTCCTCTCCTCATCCCTCACTCACCTCCTCCTTCATTCTTATCTCCCCACCTCTCCTCTCTCTCTCTCGCCTCCTCCTCCTCATGTACCTCTCTGCCGTCTCCCACTGCACCTGCTATACCACCTCAGGGGGTGTGACTTTCTCTCGCTATGTGCTGCAGGCAGTTAAGGGGGTGTGTCGCGATATATAAATTATATATGTTTATAACTGCCTGTAGCATTAGCTTTAGTGTAGTTATACAAACCTGGTTGGTGGTGCAGCTCTTGTTTGTTTGCTATATGTACCTTTGGTTCTATAGTGAACACAACAATTTCTCAATCCTCCTTGGTACAACCACCTCGACACCCGCTTGGCCTAGGCTACTAAGCCTAGGCCCTTAGTAAACCCCGGTTCCTAGACTAAGATCGTATTGTAACATTGGCGAGGTAGGCGAAGCAGCGGTCGACCTCGCGCCAGTGCTGGTCGCTCCTCACCGTGAGGCCGCTCCCCAGCTAGCTGCAGGCAAAGGCGATGTCCGGCCTCGTCGTCGTCGCCGCGAACTGCAGCGAGCCGACCTTCTGACGGTACTCCTCCTCCTGTCGCTCCTGTGCCGTCGTCGAAGGTGAGCTCGGCGTAGACGTCGACCGAGACCGGCGTCTTCAGGGTGCGCCCGGTCTGCTCCTCGTCGATGAAGCGCCTACGCAGCTTGTCGACGTAGCCCTGCTGGTGCAGCCACAGCTTCCCCGCCGACCTGTCGCGGACGATCTCCAGCCCAAGGTATTTCTGCACCGGCGAGATCTCACGCAGCTCGAAGGCGGACTCCAGCAGCTCCTTCAGCTCCTTCAGCATCTCGGTGCTGCTGCTGGCGGCGAGCAGGTCGTCGACGTAGACCAGCACACAGCAGGCCACTCCGGCCTTGCCGACCTTGAAGTACAGAGCCTCGTCGACCTGGCTCTTCTTCCACCCGGCGCCGACCAGCACGTCGTTGAGCGCCAAGTACCACAGCAGCGGCGACTGCTTTAGCCCGTACAGGCTCTTCAGCAGCTTGCAGACCCGGCCGGTTCCGTCGTTGAAGTAGTCCAGCTGGGACACGTAGAGCACCCGGTGGAGCTTGCTCTGCAGGAAGGCGTTCTTCATGTCGAGCTGCATCAGGTTGAGGTTGAGGACGGCGACGATGCTGAGGAAGATCCTCAGCGTGACGTAGCTGCCCACCGCCGCGAACGTCTCGTCGTAGTCAGCGCCGTACACCTGCGTGAAGCCCTTCACGACCAGCCTCGCCTTCTCGCGCTCGACAGTGTCGTCGACGTGGTACTTCGTCGTCAACACCCACCGGTTCTTCATGATGTTGACTCCCGGCGGGCGTTCGACCAGCTCCCATGTGCCCATGTTGATGAGGCTGCGAATCTCCTCCTCCATGGCGGCCTTCACCCCCGGGCCCTTCCAGCTCGCCAAAGCCTCCTTCACCGTCATCGTCGAGATATCCCAACGGTGCTCGGGGTCGGCCAGCATGTCAGGGTCGAGCTCCGGAAACTCCTCATCCTCCTCGGCGTCGTCGTACAGCAGGTCGTTGTCATCATCCACGTCGTACACCGTGGTGAAGGCAGCGGGGACGAAGAAGTCCGGCGGCCTCCGAACTCTATCCGACTTCCGGGGTTCAGGCCGAACCTCCACCACGTCACTCTTGGTGGACTCTCCAGCGTCCCCTCCGTCGTCACCGTCTTCACTGCCCTCGACGTCCTGCTGCACCTCGGTCGACTTCCTGGTCGACCTCTCCCCTGTGGTCAGCTCCCCTGCCGACAGCCCGGTTGCCGACTGCTCCGTGGTCGGCTTCACTGCTGCTCGCTCCCCTGTCGGCTGCTTCTCCTTGACCTGCACCTCCCCTGTCGAAGTCGGCTTCAATCCCACATCGACTGGCCTCTCGTCACGTCAGCCACCGGCGATGCCCGTGGCTGGCGCCGAAGGCGACGTCCCACTACTCCCCTCATCGCCGGAGGCCGACACCAAGGTCAGCCCGCGCTGGTCGGCCAGGAGCGGAGGGGCAGGGGTCGTAGAGGGAGGGGAAGGAGGACGGACGTCCTCGACGTCCGCAGCAGCAAGCTCACCGACCTCGGTGAGCAGAGGCAGCGTCGCTGTCGAGGTATCAGTCGGTGGGGTGGTCGGCGTCCGTCCTGACACGGGCCCGTGCTCCGACTTCCACTCGGCCAGCGACATATCCTCGTACAACACCACGTCTGACGTGGTGACCACCCGGTTGGCGTGGATGTCAAGGAGCTCCCAGCCCTTGCTCTCCGTCGACACGCCGAGGTGAAGGCCCCACCGGGCCTTCGGCTTCAGCTTCCCACCACGCTGCTGCTCGGGGACAATGCGCCATGCAGCCCCACACCCTCGACATCGACAAGTCGGGCTTCTGGCTGACCAGCAGCTGGTACGGCGTCGTCCCCGGCGGCAGCGTCGACCTCTCAAGGCAGTTGCGGACCCAGACGGCCTGCCGCAGAGCGAGGTGCCACCAGTGGTGCTGCACGCCCATGTGCAGCAGCATCGTCTGCACCGACTCCACCACCGTCCTCATCTCCCGCTCCTCCATGCCGTTCTGCTGCGGGGTGTACGGGCAGGTCAGGTTGTGGACGATCCCCTGTCCGTCCACGAAGTCGGTGAACTTCTTCCCGAGGAACTCCCCTCCCCGGTCGGAGCGAAGCATCAGCACCGACTTCTTCGTCTGCCTCTCCACCAACACCAGCCACTTCTGGAACTCCAGCAGCACATCCGACTTCTTTGCGACCAGCCTCACCCACACGAAGCGGGTCTTGCGGTCCTTCAGCAGCAGGAAGTACAAGCTGCCGTCCTTGGCAGCCACGCGGAACGGCCCGCACAGGTCGATGTGCACGACGGCCAGCACGTCGTCGGCGTCGGAGCCTTGGTCGGGGAAGGTGTGCCGCGCCAGCTTCCCGCCGACGCACGAGACACACGGTGAGTCGGCGCCCGTCGCCGACTTGAGGTCCAGCCCAATGGCGACCTCGTTCTTCGCCGAGCTCCTGATGGTGTCCATGCCGACGTGCGCAAGCCGCGCATGTATCCTGTCCGGCGTCGACTTCGCCTTCGAGACGATCGCCCGCAGGGCCACGACCTCCGTCTTGGGCGACGTCGACCTCGTTGAGCAGGGACGCAGGTCGGTGCAGAGGACACGCCCGGAGTACGTCGCCCGACCGAGCACCTCTCCGGCTGCCGAGACGAGCAGCATGCCGTCTCCGTCCTCTTGCAGCTTCACGCCGTGCTCCTTCAGCTGGCCGGACGACAGCAGGTTGGCCCGCACACCCGGGACGTACAGCACGTCGGGGATGAGCACCTGCTTCCCGGCCTCCCCTTGCAGGGCGACTGTGCCTCGGCCCTGGACGTCCTGCAGCGCCCCATTGAAGCCGCGCACATGCTTGATGGAGCCGCTCGGCTGCAGGTCCACGAAGACTTCCTTCGTCCCCATCAGGTGGTGGGAGCAGCCGCTGTCGAGCAGGACCACTGCCGGGTTCGCCTGCACAGCTGCCGCCACCGCCTGGAAGTCCGGCCTCCGGCGCCAGTGAGACGGTCGGCTCCACGACGCCGACCAGCGAGCACGACGTCGTCTTGTCGTCCCGCCCCTTGCCGCCAGCAGAGGAGTCGGCGTCCTTCGCCGAGGTCGACGTCGTCGACTGCTTCTCCTTGCGCGGCTTGTTTCCTCCTCGACGAGGACGACGACTGCTAGACCTTCCGCGGCCTCCCTTGGCGTCGTCGTCTTCGGAGTCACTGCGGTCGGGGCACTCGAAGGAGAGGTGGTCGGGGTCGCCGCACAGCCAGCACTCCCGACGTCGACTTCCTCCTCCTCGACCGCTGTCCTTGGTCGACTTCTTCTTGTCGACCTCCTTGGCCGGCTTCCAGCCACTGCTACCTCCGCCGCCAGACTGTCCGCGCTGCCCCAGTCGACCTCCTTGCTTCGCCGGGGCGACGAAGTTGGCCTGCGCCAAGAGCTCCTATGACCGCTCAGCCTCCTGCATCGCCTCGTCCTGCAGGATGTACGAGGTCAAGTTGTCCTCGTTGAGCGTCGCCCTTGTGCTCGGCGCCATTGACAGCCGCTTCAGGAGGTTGTATTTACTCGAGAGTCCCTGCATGACGTGGGTGACGTATGACGCCGTCGAGTACTGCGCGCCGGCCATTCTGATGGTGGCGAGAATTCGCCGGGCTCGGTTGCAGTAGTCGGTCGCCGTCTCCTCGTCGCCCATGCGCAGGTGCGTCAGCTGTCCCTCCAGCTGGGCGATGAACAGGTCGTCGGTGACTTGGTAGGTCGACTGAATGAAGTGCCACGCCTGGTGGCCGGCGTCGAGGTACTCCCGACACCACTTCAGGGCGATCTGCACGCCCGGCGAGCAGCACCGCGAGATGACCATGAAGGTCAACAGCTGCACTGCTCGGAACTCCGCACGTAAGTCGGGGTCATCCGGCGTCGCCACAGTACCTCGAGCAAAGTTGATCAGCCCAGCCATCTCTAGCTGGGGCTCGATGGCTTCCTTCCAGGTGAGGATGTCCTGTCGACCAACGAGCGGCGGGTTGACCAAGATCCTGTCCGGCGCAAACTTGAAGTAGCCGTAGCTCGGTGCAATCCCGCCTGCCGTCACCTGGGTCGCCGACATCGGCGACAATCCGCTTCGTCGTCCTCCGACGTCGCCCTGGGAGGAGCCTGCAGCTGCCGATGACTGCACCCCTCGCGCCTGAACGCCGCCGACTTCATCGGCGTGAATCACACCTCTCTGCCTCGACGTGCCTCCCGCACTGCTGCCGACTTGGCCACCTCCGGCGTTGACGCCCACGTCGACGCCGCCTTCGTTGGTCACCGATCGAGGAGAAGCTGGTCGAGAAGGGGGATGCTCCGTCGCCCACACGGAGCGGAGTCCAGCCTCGACGACCGCCCAGGGTATCGTCCCGTACTCCTGGGCCTCATGGCGTCTCCTCGCATCCTCCAGCCGTCC